GATTGCGAGGCTCACGGTGACTGCTGCTTTCTAATGTTTTTTTCTTATTGCTTAAAAAAAGAGGGAAACTCCCGATTGACCTTTTAATATTCAAAGTGTTTGTTTACTGTCCTCTTCCCCTGCTGGGTCACGACCCCTGTGCTGCATGCGTGGACGTTAACCCTGCTGACCCCAAATCACACACATGCCTGTCGACTCCTGTCTGCAGCAGCTATGTTTTTAATAAGATGCTTATCTTTAACCCCATAATGGAGTCTTAATGCTGAGAATTCTCATGACGTTTCTGGCTGAACACCACATTCAGCGCTGCAAGAACATCACCTGCAATCTGACTGTAGCTCTGTGGATTAGGAAGCTGTGCCCATGTTCCAGAAGGTCATGAGATCAAATCCATTGGTTGATAGAGTACTCACATCACCACTGGGATCCTTGGGCCTTTGGCCATTGGTTTATAGAGTACTCGCATTGCCATTGGGATCCTAGGGCCTTTGGCCATTGGTTGATAGAGTACTCTTATCATTATTGGGCCCTTGACCATTGGTTGATAGAGTACTCATATCATTATTGGGCCCTTGACCATTGGTTGATAGAGTACTCATATCATTATTGGGCCCTTGGCCATTGTTTTATAGAGTACTCACATCACCATTGGGCTCTTGACCATTGGTTGATAGAATACTCAGATCACCAATGGGCCCTTGGCCATTGGTTGATAGAGTACTCATATCATTATTGGGCCCTTGGCCATAGGTTTATAAAGTATTCACATTACCATTGGGTTCCTTGGACCTTTGGCCATTGGTTGATAGAGTACTCACATTACCATTGGGTTCCTTGGACCTTTGGCCATTGGTTGATAGAGTACTCACATCACCTTTGGACTCATGGGCGAGGCCCTTAACCCCAACTGTTTCAGGGAGGTTGGCTGACTCTGTCCTTGGACCCTTGCTCCTCTGCGAAGACTGAGAGGAGCCAGTGAGTTTAGTCCTCCTGATTTCAGCTTGCGGGGGATGGGTGGTATGTGCCGGTCCCTCCCAGGCTGGTACTATCAATGCAAGTATGGTTGGAGTGTGTCAGGGATGCTACCCCCCCCCCCCCCCCAAATTGAAGGTCGCTCGATGTTTTTCAAGTAAGGGGCACACAGTTAATTGCCTTTATTTTCTTACCAAAAAAGAAATACAAAAGAGTCTGTCAAGCTGGGTGTGAGCGATGTAATGTTCTTTAAATACCCATTCAGAAGGATTGCTGGGGCCTGGTTGTGATGCAACAATGGTTGCTGAGCAACAAGGATGGCCACGCCTCCTTTTTTCCCCAACCCCCTGTCATTAAGCTGCATGTTTGCTTGAAAGGCAGTAAATGCCAGCTGCCTGTTCAGACGCAGGATGGAGTTCCATGGGCTGGAGCCTGTGATACTGAGGTGCTGCCATTAATACCTGCTCATCCACAAACCCTGGTCAGAAAAGCTGTTCTGCCAGACGCAGGTAAAGACAAGCCTGAAAATCTTGTGATGATAAAGTTGCCAGGACTCTATCAGGTTACAGTAGGTGGGAGAATCTCCGCCCCTCCCCCAAAACCGTCCAATCAGAGCTTACAGTGCCTTAACCACCAAACAACTGTCTTCACCGATGAAAGCTACCGTTGATGAGCGTGTGTGAATAAACTGCAGGGGTTTATTCTGATGGACACGCCAGGGTCAGTACCAGCTGCTAGCGGACGTTTTTGGCTGGTAAATCCAAATCTCCAAATCCAGTCTCCCTTTTGTTTTTTCCATTTGGCTGTTCTGCGTCCGCCATCGATCACTGACTCAAACCCAGAGGGCCACAGCAGGCTAGATGGGTCCCCCATGGGGCCGGCCGTCCCAGTCCAGCATTAACAGGAATTTAATGGTGCCCCTTATCACCCCCCCCCCCCATCCTTCCTTAGAAAGGCTCTGTGGTTTGGCACGCCGTAGTGCGCCAGACTGTGTGCTGGGAAGATCACGGAGGGAGGCTGGCTCTGGCGTCCCAGCCACCTCATGACCAGAGCAGGTTTCAGCATCAAGCCGACCTGCTTCCAGTAGCGGGGGGGGGGGGGGGGGGGGGG